GCTACAAATTTTACAGCAAGTACCTTCCAACCTAGCGAGCCTACTATAATTTTTTTATATCTATAGCTATCACCAATCCTCCACAAATATTAACCTACATAATATTAGCTCTATAGTTTTGAATTTATGACCCAATCCTTGTCACAACTAACTGCAATCTAACTGTACTAACAAGTAGATGGTATTTTTGTGAACCAAACAAAATTAGTCTCACTATTTTTGGACCACTACACAATTTACAATAAATTACCAAAGTTCAGCTTGAAAACTAAATTGAATAAGCATTAACAAATTCACTGAAAAGATGAAATTGCTTCCTACTTCGCGGCCCACGCTAGCACCGGCTCGGCCCAATCCGGCTTACCACCCACGCGCGCATGCAGCCACATAAGCGGAGTGACAGGTTTTACCGCCCGCGCGCGCATGCGACGCGGCCTAACACAGGCGGCCCGCAGCGGAGCCGCACGTGTCGACGAAATATGGTCGGCAGTCTACCCAGGGGTATGCCTAAGGTAGTAGATTGTCGTCAGACAGATGCGCAAGCCACAAACAAGATGGTGACGCAAGACACACGAGGTTTTATCCAGGTTCGGCCGCCGAGAAGGCGTAATACCTATGTCCTACGTCTGATTGTATTGTTGTATGTCAATGAGAGATGTTTTTTAGAGGGGTCCCCTGCCCGCCTTATATAGTCCGAGGGGTAGGGTTACAGATCTGGAAACTAATCCTAGTCAGTTACAATTGCCATAGGTGACCGGATAAGGATTCCTATTCTAACCGACCGAGATCTTGCTTGATCGCCAAATCTGTCTTGACTCCTTGCGCGGGACTCCGAACAGGTTAGTCGGGCCGCACGTCATCTTTTGGTGGACCGGACCCACTGATCCGGGCTGGCCCAATCTTAGCCGTAAGGGTATAGGGGTTAATATCCCCACAGCACGTGTTTGGCGCATAAGCGAAAAAGCCCCCGCTATTATCCTTATTAGCACAACTAACCCGAGCACTATTACGCCGAGTCACAGGTTTTACATCTACCACCCTCTCCTTTCTCTTCTTCATTACGGCGACATCCCTCGGCACCCGTGCGTGCACCGGCGCGACGGCGCGGGCAACAGGCGGTTACGTCGGCCACAGCCGACCTCCCCCTCCCTAGCTATCGAGCCGACTCTTACCTAGGAGCGAACGCGACGCGCCAGGTGAAGGAAGCGTGAGCCGGGACACAGCAGCGCGGTTTGACCACGGTGGCGGAGGTCCTGCAGCCACGGCAATGGCGTTCCGATGAATGACAGCGAAGCTGGGGCAAAATAGGTAACTAGTGAGCTCCAGTGACTCACCACGGAACCCTATGATGCGGTGGTTCGTTCGGAGATGTCCCGAACTGAACTGGCCGCGTGCGCCCGGGTGGGGCGGCGGCGCACGGCGATGGCATGGCCGCGTCAGGGAGTGCTATACGACGGTAGAGCTTCGGCCGTGGTGAGTAGGGTGATAAGCAGCTGGAGGAGAGGCTAGTAGTGCAATGAATTGAAATGGTATGCCTTGGTTACGCGGCTTGCCGACGGCGCAGGCCACCCCGGTCTTAAGGACCCGGCGGAGCGGCACTTCAAAATTGAGGCACAGTGCGGTGCTACAAGCAGCAAGGTGGGGTCGGTTGAGCTGCTAGCTACCTAGCGGAGCAGAGAACATGACTAATTGGATCACGGCGCTGCCATGATGGCGAATCGAAGGGAACGGCCATGGCGATAGCGAAGACAGGGGAGTTAGGCACGGCCTGGCCCGGCACTGTTGTGGCCGTCAACGCAAGGTACAAGTGTACACGAGCCAAGGGGAACCACGAGGCGTGCTCCAGGCGGCTGGCCGCACGGCCGAACACGCAAGCCGAGGAAGCTCGGCACTACGTCACTGCAGGCGGCGCCGGCCAAGGAAATGCCACAGCGCAACGTTGACGCCTAAGGGAAAGCGGAGCGAGCGGCCATCCTACGCCGTGTGCAACTGCGTGGTGTCAACGACAATAGTGCCGCGCAGGCGGTGCTCGTGAGCGCGCCTGGCGAGTGGCGACACCAGCTCGGTGAGCGGTGGTGAGCGAAAAAGCGCAAGTAGACGCAAATGCGGGCAGAGTAGCCGGTCTACCGACGCAGTGCGCGTGCGTGTGTGCGTGGTGTGCCGTGCAACCATGGCAGCGCGAGTTGCAGCACGAGACCCGGCGGCTCAGTCGACGCGTGCGAGGGCAGGGCGCGGGCAGGCGTCCAAGACGCGGCACGGCAGCAGCGGCGGTGCTAGCTGCGCTCCAGTGCGTGGTGGCAGGCGGCCATGGCCCGCAGCGCAAGGGGCCATGCGCGTGCGTACACGCATAGGCGCAGTAGTGGGAACGTGGCTGGCGCGGCAGCGCACGTTGGCAACCCAGCAGCGGTGCTAGGCCAAGCAGAGGGTGGTGACCGCTCCCGGAGATGGACCATGTGCCATGCACACTTTTTAAAGTGGCCCAAAACTCAAACCCGAATGCTACCACCGCCAAACCAGTTGTTCTACACGGAAAAGGGTACCTAAGGCTAGCCAATCGTGCCAAAACATCTCGCCACTTCTTAACCCAGTCGCTCTACAAAATTTGCCGAACATGGCTTTGTCGACCCCTTTTCAAACTTACGCGAAATGACTTAAACTTCGAACGGTTTCGCGTCGAATTCCAATTCCGACCTACTTGGTATACTAGCTAGCAAACCTCGTCCTCGACCACACCTATTTCATCGTCGCCTACGAAGTACGTACTACAAACTCTATCAAAGTTAGCATAAACGTGCTATAGCATTTTGTTCGATAAAAATTCGCTTAGAATACTAAACGATATTATGCGACATGAAACGTAACATTTGTTTTTTGTTACGGATAAACGTTTCAAGTGCCAAACATTGATTTATACTTCATGTTACACACTATTGCACATAAGTATGATGCTCATGCAGCGTTTTAGCAAAAACAGTACAATGTAACACCGAGGGTGTTACAGCCATCGCCATGACCGGAGAGCAACCAATGAAGGAGATAGATGGATGCCAATATGAGCTCGTCGCGCTGAACGCCAGTTCATGGACAGAGCGCCAACACGTGGTTTACCGCGTGTTCCAACGAAGTTCGGGAATTTGTACGAGAGCAATGTGACATCCAACACAACTTCGACCTACACCATACTCATGTACTCACTTTGATGCAATCAACAATATCAAACATGCAGCTAGTGTTTAAACATTTTTTGTTAGAAATTAAATGTCAAAATAGCATTATCTTACTACTTTTCCATACTTAGGAAAGTTAAGGATTTCCATTAAGGCTAGGTAATCATTAACTCTTTTGTCAAAAATTTTAATAGATCTAAACCTTGTTAACTTCAACCAACAAATACTTCATACAATAGTCCATACCTTATACTAACCCGTAGGAGCAAAATATTTAAGCACCATTTAACTATTTTGCTCAATATAATTCACCAAAAATGGTATTTTAACAATAGTTCAGGTGTTTGCCGACTTAATAAAAAGAGTTTATCTTAACGTCAAATTTGATTTTTGAGCTCCCAAAACACTAGTTAACAACATCTATTTTCCAAAAGTTAAAGTTGCATTTCCATCTACTAAACTTGTACTTCAATTTTTATTTAAGTACTAAATACAAGTTATGTTTGATCCTTGTTCCTAGAAATTGTTTTTCGCCTGACGTGCGTTATATATTTTTAAAACCCGGAAACTTGTTAAGCTAATCCTTCTCGGTCCTAAATTTCGGTACTAAGCAAACTCATAACACTAGGGGTGTTACACTTATGTTTCAGGTGTTTCATCTGAATGTTGCAAAAGTCGATCTAGGATGTTGCATATGTTGCAATAGCAATATACACATGTTGCAAGCCAACGTTTTAATTGTTTCATGTGTTTGAGACGTTTCTTCAAATGTTTAATCTGGATGCTTTAAAAGTTGATCTGGTGTTGCATATGTTGCAATGTCCATACACGCATGTTTCAAGTGTTTTATCTGTCTTCATCATCTGGATGTTTCAAAAGTAGATCGAGCGTTGCACGGCATTGGTGGCTGGCGGAGAGTGGCTTACCGCAGGGCTTCGCCTCCTACCTCGCGCGACTCTCCTCTCCCTCTCCTCTCTTCCTTTCCCTTCCCTGCATCTCGCCGTGGTAGTTCGAGCTTGAACTGAGGGGGTGGGCACGGCACGAGGGAGTTGTGTGCGTCGGGCGCAAACGCGGGAGCTTCGTCCGGACGTCGCCGCCTCTAGAGCGGGATGGGTACGGGGCGGAGGGAGTTGTGTGCGTCGCGGTAGACTTCCCTCCATCTCGCTGTGGCAGTTTGAGCTTGAACCGAGAGGGGGTGGGCACGGAAAAGGGAGCTGTGTGCGTCAGGCGCAAGTGCGGGAGCTTCATCCGGACGTCGCCGCCTCCAGAGCGGGATGGGTACGGGGCGGAGGGAGCTGTGTGCGTCGTGGTAGAGAACGGGGTGCAGGCGTGAACGGGCACTACCGTTTATACATTTGAATGTAGGCCTCATTTAAGACTCAGGAGTACTCAAATGGGCATTTGCGTGAGGATTATTATTACGACGTATACTGGTACTGTATTAACTTTTTGGAAGTAATAAAAAAAGGCTGTCTTCCAGCTTGCGCTTGCGTGAGAAGTCTCTTTCAGAGTTTTTTCTCGTTTTGGTCCTCGTGAACCAGCCTTTTACAGTCTTTCACGATTTTTTTCTCGTTTTCAATGGGCCATCGAGGACTGAGGAGGACTGGAGGAGCCTCAGCATTTCGGTGGAAAAGGAAAAAAAAATCGAATCCAGGGAAAGCACCTCAGCCAGCACGCGAACTTTGGAATCTCGTTTTCAATGGCCCTCGTGAACCAGCCAGTCAACAACCACAGACAATCGATAGACACCGCACGTCCGCACCCCGCTCACCAAACGAAAACCCCAAGAAAAAGAATCAACACCGTACAATACTAATCCAATCAATGGACCTCTCAAAGGGCGATGCCTTCCAAGTCGACCGCGAGCACTCTGGCGAGCGCCTCGAGCCCCACGCCTTCGTCGCCGCCGTCCCCTCCGCCGGCGACGCGGATCATGGAGCGGACCTCGTCGTCCGCCGCGGGCATCCCAGCCCAGCCGAGGTAGTCCTTGAGGTCGTCGAACCCGACCTTGCCGTCCCCGTCCCGGTCCATGAGCCGGAAGGCGTCCTCCATGGTGGAGCGGCGCCCGGCGCCTCCCGCGGCGGCGGCGGCGGCCGCGGCGCGGCCGGCCAGCAGGCGCTCGAACTCGTCGTACTGCACGAAGCCGTCGCGGTCGGCGTCGGCGGCCGCGATCATGGCCGCGAGGTCGTCGTCGTCGAACCGCTGCTTGCCGGCGGCGGGCCCCGCGGCGGCGTAGAAGGACTTGAGGTCCTCCCGGCTGATGCGGCCGTCCCGGTCCGCGTCAAGCACGTCGAACGCCGGCCTCAGGTCGCCGCCAGCGGCGGAGAGGTCGAGCCCCAGGTACTTGCCGGTGGGGCACATGCTCGCCTGCTTCGCCGGGACTCGGGAGGAGAGGACAGGGGGAAAACTCGGGAACAGTCTGGACCTCTGGATCGGAACGGAACTTGTGCTCTGCTTTTTCGCGGAAGGTCGCAGCTAATCGCGGGCTTGTGCTGTTCGTATCTCACGGGAGGCCGCTATTTATAGGCGCGGGGGACGGACTCTCCCGTCATTGAGGACGTTTTTCCCGTGGACCAGGTCCAGGATCGGTGGACGCAAAGCCCATCGCACTGACGCCGTGGGGCCTGGTGCTTTTTGCGGTGGCACCGCCGAGTCCGGTGCAGCGTGGAGTGGTGGACGAGGTGTTTGGGGCCGGCAGGAGATACTTGGATTAATAATAATTGGTTGGTTTGAGATCTGTGATGAACTTGCGACGCACGGAGCCTCCTCAGCTTGACGGGCAGCTGGGGTCACCGTAGGTTGGACCAGGACAAACTCGAAGACGTGTTGGGTGACGTCTTTGCGGTCACACTCCACCGCTGCAGCTGGGCGTCGCTCTCCGGCTGAGATCTTCCGTGGCGTCAGCCGCCGATTCCACCGCCCCGCGCGCGCCTGTGCAATTTTCTGAGGCCGTTCCCGTGCGCTGCTACGAGTTTGCTGCTGTAGCTAACACCGAGCACCAGCACGTGGGCATATAAAGAAAAGGAAAGTTGCGAGGCCACATGGACCCTTTAATAAACATATTCCCGTCTTAAACATACATACGTATGATATTATGTTTAGCGTTTTTAAGTTACTCCCTTCATCTAGAAAAAACTAAATTCTAGCTTTAAACCTGGACACGCATATGGAGGGAGTAGCTAAATTCAAAGATTTTTTTTTTCTGAATCTGTTCAAAGCCTCAACGCGGTTTATATATAGCACAAATATAAACATGATTCTCCTAATGTTACCACAGCTCACGCACGTTCTAGACTTCATCAAGTCGACACCATATGGTTTCCCATTTTGAGCAATGTCGCTGCGCGGAAAGAAAAATCCAGATTCCAATTTCCATGGAGGTGGAATCCGGTGGTCCAATACCGCCGGTCGAGAAAAAGATAGGGCCGCGTTTAGTTCCACAGGATTCCAGAATTTGACACTATACAAAAAGAAGATTCTCCGTTACATTAAATTTATGGTACATGCATGGAGTACTAAATGTTGACGAAATCAAAAACTAATTACACAGTTTGGTTGTACTTTGTGAGACGAACATTTTAAACCTAATTAGTCAACAATTGGATAATTATTACCAAATAAAAACAAAGCGACACTGTAGCTACAGTGCAGCTACCGTGTTCCTGCCGGCGCCAATTCGGCGGAACTAAACGAGGCCTAGCTTTGATTTCACGGTTTGGAGAAACGGGAAATGCCCGGGATTACATTCGCCCACAGGCCACAGGCTACGAACGCGGGTGCCCAGCGCGCGTATATTCCTGGACGAGAAGGACGCGACGTGGCAACGTGGGCACTTGGCAATGGCAGACCAACGTGTCGTGACGAGTCGTGTGCCCGCCATTTGTTTGGACCTTGGAAACAGCCAGCCAATTACACATGCCATCAGCTACGCGACAACCGTCAGACTGGTCCAAATCGATATGGTACGACGCTAGTCGCTAGTAGTGGCCTGGCTCACTGTAGGACGGCGGTAAGCCGGTAGGAGTAGGTACCGGTATAATATCCGTGCTAACGTAACGAACTTACCTTGGAGACGCATATGAAAACAATCATCCATGCTAACGTAACGAACTTACCTCGGAGACGCACATGAAAACAATCAATATTTTTTTTTCATAGTTCACGGTGAGCCGCATCGACGCCCCACCGTGATGATCCACACCTGCAACGTGCTAGGCGCAAGAAGCGGCACGCGTACCTCTCGCCGAGATGGAGCCATGGGCCAAGGTGTCTGGGTTCGAAAAGGTGGACGTCGCGGCTAGGGACGCGAGGTTGAGGAGGTCGGCGATCTGCACCGTAGCTGGGAGCGGTCGCGTCGCTTCTCGCCCGGGGGTGCCGCGGCCTCCATGGGGCGTCGATGCAGCTCTTGCGTCGGGCGTCGCTAGGGCAGGGGGCTCCCGAACGGGGCGTCGTGGAGCTGCAGCTCCGACTCCGTCAGGCGCCTCGTCGCCGAAGAAGGGTTGCACGGCAACCAGGCGCGCGGCCACGCTACGGTGACGTCTAGAAAAAATAAATCATAAAGCTAAAAAATAAATCACCCGATGAAAGGAACACAAATTCACAAACTAACGAAACAAAAAAAAACACTTGATTTTCACACATCATCCCCTGTACACAATGACAAATACTTAAACCTAGATAGCTGAATTGCAGGAAGCTGCAGGAATGACAAATACCACGATAATTCATATGTGAACGTGGGATCTTCGTGGGTATTTGCAAAATCGAGATGCTCGTGGTCAGACTTGGTGTGTGCTCTTCATGATGTTTGCAAAATCGAGATGCTCGTCACCAGACTTGCAAAATCGAGATGCTTGTCATCCGCATATGATGATGGAGATCCTAGCATGACCATCGGAGGAAATGTGTAAGTATTTGGCACCAACTTGATTTTCATCAGACAATGATATTGACATTTTCTCGGTCAGTTCAACGGACATGGCTGAGCCCCACATAAACAATGCTACAAGCTAACAGTAATTCAACAATCCATATACATGGAAACTAACCTTGCCAAATACCATATGTAGGATAGGAGGCATTGGTGGTACTCATGTGGTGACTTCAAAGCCATAGAAGCTGCCAACTGGGTCTCTAAATGCACGTGTCTACAAACCATCATCTGTAACCCTGAAACAAAAACTCCCACATCAGTACGTTTCGAGCAAACTCCCACAGATGAGCAACTTGCCTAGCTCTCCACCTTTGTGGAACTAAATGAGCTAGCAAAATTTGATGCTGGAAAACAATCATCACCAACCCTTAACCAGCACTTCGTGCTCATGTCAAAAAATAAAGCATGGTTGCTATGAAGGACGACTAAGGGAAAACAACATCTTGAGAATTTAGCAGATATTACCTTTACTGCACCTGTCGACAAGGCAAATATAACTACTAAGCGCCAACCATTTCAGCAAACACCTTATGCAACAAAGTTCAGAATAGCCATCTCAGGTTGTAAGTGAGAACTAAAGACCGGATGAACAAATAATTATCAGCATGATTGGCCGATGACTCATCTGGAGATGCAACCAAAGATAAAGAAGCCAATGAGGCATATGAAGCCAATGACTTCTTCTCGGCTTTGGCCACGCCATCAGCATCTTTGGAAATACAAGTTGGATAATCTGCAATTTGATTAGTATTTCAGTTTATGTTGATGGATGGAAATCAATTCAGAAATCACTGGCCAACAAAAAAAATGATTGATCAACTAACTAAATAGTATATTGCCCGTTAGTAAAAGTTAATTAACAGAATAAATCAGGAGATACGTACGTCTGCAGTACATTATTCAACACTAACTTACTGCTAGCACAGTGCATTCTGCTATTTTAAAATAACACCACTGTTCTTCTAAAACAGCCAAATTACATTGCAGAAAAAATAATTGCATCCGATTTTTATCAATGGAACAGGGAAGACATGAGAAGCATGTAACATCAGGAGGAATTCAACAAAAACAAATCATAGAAAAAATAGACAACAAAATTATGAGGCACAACAAAGGAAAAAAGGTTAATTTCGTGAGCCAAGAGATTACATAAAGATAAAACCTTTTTTATTTTCCTTTTGGCAAGACATATCTTCCAGTCATCAAATAAGTTAAAGAGAGTGCCAAGAATTAACAGTCTGGCCCCCAAGTCCATGTGAGTTTGCAATATGCATTTCCATTCTTGATTTTTCACAACCATACTAATCAAATGTATAGACAAACTGCTACCAATTGGAATCTATGATTTATATGAAATGTAGGCAAATCCCGCAGCAACAAAACTGCAACTTGCCTGACTTCTCTAGCTATATAATGAGCATTCTCAACAACTTTTAGACTACAACAATCTAGGAAAACAGATAAACCCAATCTGGAACAGACGAGGATACAAAAAGCTGGTACCTCCAAGTCGACTAAAAGGGGAACAGGCAACAAATTAGCCTCGCTATCACTACCACTGTACCGCTTTCAAGGGACCACACTGGAGAACATTCGAGGTATGCAGGCAAGCACTAAAGGTAAAGGTAACACATCCATTCCAACATTGGAGCCGTGACAACCAATTAGGTTGTAACCTACCACCAATTCCTGTAACAACTGACGAGGCGATGAACAGAGCTCACACAAAGTCCCCGTCAGTTGCCTTTTTCTGACATTTTGTCACTCGTCTCGCAAGGACACGCAGTGAAACAACGGAGTCTTACACGACACGGCACCAGAGTCAGAGAATCCGCAAGAACACGAAAACGGCATCGACGCAATCCGCACAGGCAGGGATAGAGCACCTGAGGTTCCGAATCGTGGCGGACGACGCGTCCCCGGCATTGCGCCTGATCTCGCACCACGCGACCTCCTCCCCACCGCCGCCGCAGGCCGGCGGCGCGACGAGGAGCAGACCACGGAGTCGTCCTCGGCCACCTCCACCACCGGGCACGCAGAATCGGCGGGCACTGCTAAGTAATCAGGAATGGGACAACCAAACCAAAAAAAGAATCAAGAAGCCGTGCAGATGAAGGAACCCGTGGAGAAGGAGGGAGGGGCGGCTGCCCTGCCGTACCTAGCCTGACCCACACGGAGGGGGACGGCGGGGAGGCGGCCAAGGGCTGCGGGGTTTGGTGGAGGTGGAGCACTCGCCGGCGTCCCATGGCGCAGGGAGGCGACAGGCGAGGCGAGGAGCGCGTGCGCGCTAAGCTTGAGGGGAGGCGGCCACTCCGGCCTGCTGCACATGTCTCCCTGCCACCGGCCAGAGAGGGAGGCGTGGCAGCAGCGGAGCTCGCGCTCGCTCTGTAGATCGACGGACAATCGAACGGATGGGGCCGAGGTCCATGAGCACAGATCAAAATTAGGAAGGATTAAATCGGAGCTTTCTCGAAGACGAGATGAGGCCGTCGCCGTTCTGGTCTCCGCCCTCGATCATGCGGCGGCACTGCGCGACGGAGGCGGACTCGCCGAGGCCCCTGAGGACGCGCGCGAGCTCGGCCGCGGAGATGGTGCCGTTGCCGTCGGCGTCGAAGGCGCGGAACGCGTGGCGGAGGTCCTCCTCGACGGCGGCGGCGTCGCCGGCCACCGTCGCGTTCAGCACCGCGAACTCGTCCAGGCTGATGAAGCCGTCGCCGTCCGCGTCCGCCTCGGCCATCATCCGCGCCACCTCGTCGTCGGAGGCCGCGTGGCCCAGGCTCTCGAACAGCGCCGCCAGCTCCGACCGCGAGATCCGCCCGTCGCCGTTCGCGTCGAACTTGAGGAACACGCGCGCCATCTCCTCCTCTGCCGATGTCGCCGCATGACGTGGGTGCGGGGGACAACGAGGAGATTTGATACACTGCCCTCGACTGTGTAACGAATAAGAGTGAGAAGGCTTAGAGTTTATCTGGAGGGTTCGTTTCGTTTGAAATGTATTATTTTTATTTTTTTAAGATGGATTTAGAGGGATATTTTAGTGGGGGTTATTTTTTACGTGGATATAGGAAAGAAAAGATAATGTATTAGTAGGGTAGGCTAGATTTTTTTAAGATAAAATGTCACATGGCTGGCATAGAGCGGTGAGCCGGTGAAAGGAGGTTCGTGAGCAACAAAGCGGAGCACGGCTTGTCACTGATTACTGATTAGGGAGGGCGCTATCCTTGTATTCCCTCCATCAAAAAACAATGGAAATCTTGAGGAGTTAAACATAGAAATTTGACTAAATAGATAAAAAAAATATTAATATATTTACACTAAATAATAAGTATAAGTATCAATAATTATTTATGAAGCATATTTTTTATCATAAATTTATTTAAAGTTAAAAATATGATATTATTTTTTATAAATCTAGTAAAACTTACGATTATTTGATTTCTCGATAAACGAAATTTTCTTTCTTTTAGGGAAAGGGAGCCTTGTGCCGGCAGCAAACTAGCCTCTACTCGCTCCGTCCTAATTCCAAAAAGATACAAATCTCGACATGAATCTGGGTGCCCATTTTTTTTATGGAGAGTGTACTTTCTAGCAAGTCCAAAAGGAGGCGACACTGCGTTTGGCGCCGTGTGGTGAGACAGGCCGTGACGGCTGGTTGTCCTGTTGGCGTCTATAGGGTCGGTGGGACCCGCGTGAAAGAAAAGAAGGACCCGACGATCCTGGAGGACTTCTCCTTCTCATTCTCCTCGTTTTCCCTCCACTGTAACCTATACTTCCCTTGACCTATAAAAGGGAAAGCAGAACGTCCTATAGGGGGCATCACAAGGCATCGAAACACATCCCAACTACCTCATCGAATCGCCAGGGTAATTTGCTTAGCACGCCAAGCCTTTCCGTACTTCACATCATACTTAACGAATCCATATATGGACTGTTGTAAAGAAGACACAGAAATGTCGTTATTGTCATCAACGAGCCCCAATATACGATGGGCAAGGTAACGTGCAGTGAGCTGCTGATGATTTTCCTTCCCCCTATTTGATAGGCAAGTGTGGGGTTCGACAACTTTACTTATCCTCCACTTGCCATCACTCTGTCTCTTTCGTGCATTTAACCTCTACGTACAACCATTTTTGCATATCACGTGGTACCTCAACTCCTGGTCCGAATGAGTGACGGTGTATGACCTATGGTGGTACACAGCATAGTCCTGAAGGAAAAGCTTCATCTCTGACATTGTATTGAATATCATCCCCTTCCTAAGGGTTTCTTTCTCATGGTCATACAATGATTTCCTACACATCTGGATACCGATGTCACAAACTGCCATATCCATCATGCTGACATCCCTATAGTTCGGAACGCCCCTGAAAGGGACGTTCATCGACTTTAGTTGCTCAAGCTCAGGCGTTGTGTAAGGTGGTGGTGGAACATACTGCTGCGCTTCGCTAATTCTGGCATATGAATCATAGAGGGTATCATCTGCTGCCAAATCTATGACTAGTCTACCCTGAACCTGGATACCATGCAAAACATCGGTTGGTCTTGGTAATGTCATAGTATGAGCTGAAATCATGGCATGGCATCAACGGTGTTGGCATAGCATCGGTATCTCCTTGGTCATCATTAGAATCGTTTGAATCACGCTAACTACATCAACGATCCTCCTCCTCCTCCTCCTGCTCCTCCTCTTCTCATTCGAACTTATTCACATCGAAGTCATTGCTTATCTGAGTCTACTACAGCTTGAATGAAATCGCTCTGCGTCAATCGACCGTCCAAATCCATGTTATCCGGAGTTGTTTCCCCTTCGACCCCTAATTCTTGTTCATTGCCCCCAAAACCATCAATGGACGGGCCGTCCTGAACACCCAGCATCATGTACCCATTCTCCACCACCACCTCAGCCATTGGCACATTGGAACCTTGGAGTACCCTAATGTAGCGGGACCAGTGAGCAGGGTCGCGTAAGGGCATGAGGACATAGTGTGCCCTAATCTTTCCAGTATCAAACCTCTCCTTCAGTGTGAAATCACCGTCAAACTTTACATTCAAATGGACACAAAGATCGTTGAAGCTAGGAGGTTCATCAAACCATTCCAATTCTTCTTCCATATCCTCAAACATACAATCTTCTCTCATAACACTTCCTCCGTATAAAACTCTAACACAACAATCTATCTGCAAAAGCATTTCAAGAAACTTCATCAAGTCGTCGAAATCGTCGTACGTAATGTCCATGGTAATATTAATACCTATTCTAACTATAACTATACTAACTAATCTAATATTAACATCTATACAAGGCTAACAACAACAACTAATTAGACTAAATTCAATGTATAACTAGACTCACTAACTGTAGTAACTAAACTATCTAACTTTACTATATATACTAACATACTATATTACATATACTAACTAAACTAACTAAATTTACTAACTATACTAACTATACTTTACTAATTATACTAACTTTATTTATTTTACTAACTTACTATACTAACAATGTCGATTCAATCAACAAATACACTTGGGGAGTACCTCGCGGTGGTGACGCGCTAGATCGGGCCGGGGGCCTTGGGTGTGCAAGCGAGAACGACGCGTCTTTGGAGCTGGCGAGGCGTGGGCATGTGGCAGTGGCCTTCTTTATTCAGCAAAGAGGACTAGCAGCATGGGCTTTTATTCGTCTCTGTGGCGTCACGGATCGGCGGCAACCTTTGCTGCTTAAGATCGGTGGTAGCGGCGGCGCGTCTACATCAATGTCGACCTTTGCGGTCGTCGCCACGTCAGCCACCCGCCGCGCCACCTTGCATGGCAATAGGCGCGGCAAAAAATGTTAGTTTTGAAAGAAAAAAAACAATGTTAGATTTAAAATTAGTTTAAAAAAAATGTTAAAATTAAAAAAAATCGCCAGCGATATATTGTGCATCACCTCATGACAATTTGATGCTATGTAATACTAGTATTTTGCCTAGTTGCAATCAGCCGCTAAACATAAGGCCTCTTTACAGGCCGGAGCTTACTTACCACTCTAATCCTTACTAAGAATGTAAGTGGGTTAGCCCATGAGCCTGTGTATTCATTCCAACCTAATTTCCATCAGAAAAATTATATGCAAGACATGGCCTTCGTTGACCGTTTCAAAGTGCGCAATGCTCACCATTTTTTAGACAATTTTAGAAACATGTAACGCGCCTCTGAACCTGAGTGAGGACATAAGCTGCCACTTTTTTTTTAGAAAAAAGATATAATTTCCACAAAAAAAACCCTACCATATGTGCTCCTTCTCAAACAATTTCGAATGCTCCTATTTTTATTTAGTAAGAAAACCACATGCTAATTACTTACTCTTGGTGTGTGCGGTGTGCCTCCCTCATTTTTTTTTCAAGGTTTGCCCTTGTCTGAACCTCTTCCTTTTGTATCTACTAGCAAATACATCTCGTTGTTGTAAAAAATGCCATATCATACTATGGACAAGGTGTACAGATAAATTCAAGATCAACATCTCAATTTTCACATGGCTTTTTGAATCTTTTCTGTAGATCTAAAATGAAGAACTTATTGAATCTTCAAAAATTTGTATTTTTTAGGAAGATGAAAAGATCATTGTTTTTGACATCGTAACTTTTGCATTTTTATAAAACAAAAAATTTCCAGAATGTTATATTAATTTTCGATTAAACTATTTAGTCCCAACATATATTCCAAAAATCTATTAAAAAACATGTGGTCAATGGTATTCTATCATATAATTCTCACCACATGTGATCCACTTTCCTTAATAAAGCATATGCTCAAAATTAAATTTTATTTTCAAAATCAAATACAACAATCTAGAAAGAAATTTAGGCCATGTTCGCTGGGAGGAATTTGGAGAAATTCAAAGAAATCTGTGAGAGATTGAACAGTGAAAACCAGCCGTACACAGTGAAATCCGGCTGGTTTTCTTACCACTCGAACTGCCCCTTAATTTTAAAAATACAAAAGCTACGATGCCAGATCTAAGCAAAATGCATCGTGCTGAATTAAATGATTTTTTTAGTTTGTTTTGGATTAAAAGAAGATGCTGAGATGTAAATGGGAAAGAGTAGTCGGCGAGATCCCACCTCCATCTCTCAGCGCCTTGCTTCTCCACCGAATCTCGGTCTCTCTCAAATCTCAAGTTGCCAGCGATATTTCTCTAGCCGAGGTGCCCAACGACATGTGCATGGCTCGGGTGAGCTAATGCTGCAGGCCGCCGCTGGCGACCACCACACCACCTGATCTACTCTGCAAGGGCATCGAGGACAGCGCGCGGGACCTCCTCCTCGTGACAGCGGCGTCCTCTGCACTGCCGTTGCCCCGACGTCGATGACGAGCAGCGCCTCAGCACTTCAGCAGTCTTGTGACTCTGCCGTCTGCCTCCTTCCCGTCTCCCCGGGCGCGTGCCCCGTGGCCGCTTACGACCCCTTCGTCCACACTCCTCAGCTTGTTAGCATTGCTATAGACTGGTTTACTGATGACCAAACGAAACGTTTACAAAACGCATTCATTCAATTCATATCCACTACACGGGACTATTGGTTTGCACTTTGCACACGTCATCAACGTGTGAGGAATGACCACAAACTAGCCCAAGGGGCGAGAAATCTATTGGCCCCTGAAGAAAAGAAGCCCAGTGCAAAAGTAGGCCTAAATTCTTCGACTACTCTTCTGAACTATGGGAACAAAACAGCCCATACAGCACGGCCCACCAAGAAAAGACACTGAAAACCCTAGCCTTTGTAACCTCAGCTCCTATAAAATGCAGCGCCGCGAGACTACGCCCCCACCACCGCAGCGCCGCCACAGGTAAAGAAGAAACGCCTACTGTTTCCC